TCCCATCTTATGGAGCAAGCTTTAATGCCAATCAGAAAGTTGTTGGTTACTCCCTTGACATTTGTGTCACTATTGCCCCGGTGGACTTATCTTGCCAAGCTGGTCATTCTCGTAGCTTATGAGATTTACAGCTGGCTAAGATTGTGATGACGTTTCTCCTCTGGGGTGTGCATTGCACCTTCCATCACTGTGAAAGCTAGTCAGTAGAGCTGAGGCGTTCACGTCAGCTCCTACCTGCCTTCTCCGTGTTCTGTGATTCAACCATGTACTGCCTTCAGCAGTAGGTCTTCATGTCACGTCCTGGAGGATCACCAAGATCAATGACAATAGTCTATAATGTTTGGGAGTCTATGGGACACTACTTCCAAATAAACCCCGAGTAGGTAACCCACTCCTGGCACTGGGTTTTTTATTTGTTCACCTGTGGTGTCTGGTAGGGGTGTTGTTACTATCATAGGGTAACTCTAAAAGGTTTTTAAAAAATATATGTACACATAGGCTTTTTGAGGTTCTCCACAATAGTGGGTTTCCATATGTCTTTCCCCAAAGGTTTTTTAGTACTAGCTCCCTCCCCACCTTCACTCTGCTCTCTCACACTCCACCCACCTAACCTTTCCTGTCTCATTCCCCGTCCTCTCCCTTAGACCCTTGCCTTCTATTTCCCACCTCGTGGAAACTCCTGTTCCCTTACTAGTTTTTTGACCTCCGTGGGTATTCCAGATGAAACGCACAAATCTAAATATCTAAAAAGGATCCACAAAGAGAAAACATGTAATTTTTTTTCTGGGTTTGAGTTAGTTCACTCAGAATGATTGTTTATAGCTTCATTACCTGCAAATTTCATAATTTCATTTTTGGAAGCTGAACGTTATTTCATTGTGTAAATATACCACATTTTTATTATCCTTTGAAATGCTGATGGGCATCTAGGTTGTTTACAGTTCCCGCTGTTGTGAGCATAACAGCAATGGACACAGATAAGCAAGTATCTCTGTCGTAGAACACAGAATCATCTGAATATGTGCCTGAGAATAAGACAGCTGGGTCAAGTGGCATATCTCTAACTTTCTGAGGGCCCTCCACACCCATTTCCATAGTGGCTGTACCAATTTGCATTTCTACCAGCAGTGAATAAGTGCTATTCCCCCATCCACACCAGCATTTTTTTTCCATCACAGCTATTCTACTGGAGTAAGATAAAATCCCAAATTTGCATTTCTCTGATGGCAAAATATGTTGAACATTAAAAAAAACCAAAATATTTTCTAGCCATTTGTTTTTAATCTTTTGAAAACTTTCTTAGTTTCATGTTTCATTTTCTTAGATTGGTTTGCCTGCTTTCTTGATGTGTAGTTTTTTTTTTAGTTGTTTGTATATCTAGGTGCTAACTTTATATCAGATTTAGCTGGTAATTATTTCCTTTCCTATTCTGTAGGTGGCCACACAAATGATGGTGTCCTTTAATTTTTTTTCTGCTTTATTCTATATGTATGGGTGTTTTGCTTGTTGTAGGTCTGTGCACAAGCATGCAGTGCCCACAGGAGAGGGCGTCAGACACTTTGGATCTGGAGTTGTGGATTGTGAGCCACTACACAGGTTCTGGGAATTGAAGCAGGGTCCTCTGGAAGAACAACTAGTGCTCTTCACTGTTGAGCCATTTCTCCAGTCTCTGGTGTTTTTTGAGGTTCTGTTTATCATTTGTTGCTCTTAATACCTGAACAATGTGGTCCTATTCAAGAAATTCTTTCAAGTGTGCATAAGCTCTGTTTCCAAGTGTCTTTCCTACTTTCTCCTTTATCAGATTTAGGAAGGGTATTGGGTCTTTTTTTCTTTTTTAATATTTATTACATTTGTGTGCGCACGCATGCGTGCATGTGTGTGTGTGTCACAGAAGTCAGAAGAGGGCATCAGGTTCTCTGGAACTGGAGTTACAGATGGTTGTGAGCTATCATATGGGTTATAGGAATTGAATCCTGGGTGCCGGGTGATGGTGGCGCACGCCTTTAATCCCAGCACTCGGGAGGCAGAGGCAGGCGGATCTCTGTGAGTTCGAGACCAGCCTGGTCTACAGAGCTAGTTCCAGGACAGGCTCCAAAGCCACAGAGAAACCCTGCCTCGAAAAATAAAAAAATAAGCCGGGCGATGGTGGCGCATGCCTTTAATCCCAGCACTCGGGAGGCAGAGGTAGGCGGATCTCTGTGAGTTCGAGACCAGCCTGGTCTACAGAGCTAGTTCCAGGACAGGCTCCAAAGCCACAGAGAAACCCTGTCTCGAAAAACCAAAAAAAAAAAAAAAAAGAAAAATAAAAAAAATAATAATAAAAGGAATTGAATCCTGGGTCCCCTTTACAACCCTAAATTATAGATACACTACAATTTCCACTATTCAGAGGTGGAAACTGAGACATACATTAAATTACCTAAACCAGCAGTTCTCAACCTGTGACTTGCAACCCCCTTGACAAATCTCTATCATCACATAATGTCACCACAATATGAAGAGATGTACTAAAGGGTCACAGCATTAGCAGGGTTAAGAACCACTGGCCACGAATAATATTCTAGCATGTAGCGGGGAGACATCCAGGAGCCTCCACCCCTAAACGAGGAGCTATTGACAGCTGATGACTTCTGGAGAAGGGAGAGCCAGTTTTCTTTAGGGCTGTGGCTCATTAAAGTTGTATAAGAGTTAAAATAACTAATACATAAAAAGAAGATAAGATGTTAGTTGACATAACACATGATCAAAAATGCTAGTTATTGGCTAATGAGATGGCCCAGAGGGTAATGCACTTAATGTACTAGCCTAAGGCTTGGCGCTCAGATCCCCAAAAGCCAAGTGGGTGTAGCATCCCACCTACAATCACAACACAAGCGGAGACAGGAGCTTTCACTAGTCTTTCCTTGGCTGGTAGAGGCAGGGCAGGGACAACCTCTGGAAGTACTGCTTTAATCATCTGTTTAATCATTAGGAATGAGACTAATTGCTTTCCTGAAACTGGGAGGAAAAGGTATAGACTTCGATGTACTTGAAAGCCAATACTTCTCAAGGGAGTAAAAAGAAGCCACAGAATATCAAAAAGAAGAGGGATTAACTAAGCATGGTAGTGCAGGTCTGTGATCCTAGCACTAGGGGATGAGGCAGGAGGATTGTGAGTTCCAGGCCAACCTGGGCTACCCAGCAAGGCTTTGTCAGAGAGAGAGAGAGAGAGAGAGAGAGAGAGAGAGAGAACACAGAGGGAGAAAGGGGACTCGTGAAGAGTATAGGTTGATAGCAGAGGGGCAATGTTGCTGACACAAACAGAAATCCTTTTTCATTTCTGTTGGGAGGTGGAAAAGTATAGTAATCTTTGGAATAAAGGAGATTCTAAACCCGTTATTGATGCTGTAATATTGGTCAAATAGTGTTTCAGAACCCATTTCTTCTTTTAAAAAAGTGAGTATAGTTACTTAATAAGGTGATCGGACATAGTCTATAAAATAACTAGGTAGGGGAAAAGCTAAATCTCACTTTTCTTTTTATTGTATGTATGTATGTATGTATATTTGCATGCATGTATTCTTGTGCACCTAAACACGCTAAGGCTCTCCTGTGGAGGTCAGGGAATCGGCTATCGTGGTCCACCATTAGGGGTTCAGGGATGGCCCTCAGGTTTGTCAAGGTTGATGGCAAGTCTCTTTACTTACTAATCCATCTCACTTGCCCGGTTTCACTTATCAAATGTTTTTCTTGCCACATTTCGCATTCTTTGCAGAGGGGCATACATTTACACGTATGCAGGACTTTTGTACATTCACGTAGTTCCTGTTGAGACATGGCTTCCCTGCGGAGAGGATCAGTTTTTGCCTTCTGCTATTATTGATGTGGTCCATTTAACAAACACTTATTGAACACCTACAATGTTCTAATACTATGCTAGGCCCTACTGGGTAGATATAGAAAAAGGAGCCTTTAAGACAATCGTAGCACTTTAGATGAGAAATAATTTCTAGGCAAAGCAGCTATCGGAGTCTAGGAGGTGAAGGAAAGTAACAAGAGCTTATGAGCAGTGAGCACCTAACGGAAGGTGTGTCCTTTAAAGTCTTGGCAGATGGTAGAATTCACCATGCAGAGACTGGAAAAAGACAAAGCTAAGAGAAAACACGTTGACCCCAGAGGATTTCTCAAACCACAATACCGAATGGAAAGGAAACGTAGTTTTGCTTGCTTTGGAATCTTATGCCATCCGCGTGCACGCTAAACAGAACGGTAAGCCTTGGCCAATGAGACGGCCACCGTGACAGCAGCAAGCAGCCGCAAAGCTGCGGTGACTCTGAACTGACTAGAGTGACGGCGTGACAGTTTATTTGAACAATCGATGAAGCATCATCAACTCTCAGGAAGCTGCGGGTTCCCGATTTCCCGGTTCACCCTTGTCAAGTTCTCAGCATGTTTTCGCCCGGGGTGAAACGCTCAGCCAGAAGGCCCAATTAGCGTCAAAGGGAAGGGGGTGGTCTCTCTGCGGATAGACTTTGGCTCCTCCCGAGTCCTGCCGAGCTCCCACCGCGCCACACCAAAGATGGCTTCCTCGCGTTCCCTTGCCTCGGCTAATCTCACGCTCACCTTTCGGCCACACTCAATATGGCCCTAACCCAAGGTTGCATTCCTGTGGAACCGTCTCCCGACAGTTCTCGCGAGGTTTGGCGGGTCTCTCTCTCCCCCCCCCCCCCCACCGCCCTCCCCCTCCCCGACTGCTCCCGCCCTGCCTCGCGCCGCCGCCGCCACCGCCACTGCCGCCGGCGCCGCTCCTCCTCCGTGTCAGTTGTTGAGCTGTAATGGCGACTGGGCCGCCGCTGCCGAAGTGACTCCCGGGCGGGGGAGCGGGGCCGGACCTGCGCCGGAGAGGACTGCGGAGAACCGCAGCTCGGGAGGGGGATCGCGGCGGGGGAGAGGAGGCCGCCTCTGCGCCTCTCCTTCCTTCCCTGCCGCCCGGCGGACCCAGGAACCGGGGCGAGGCGGGCACCCGGTTCGTCCCCGGAGCGGGGAGGCCCGGCCGGGCAGCCCTGGGGCCGGTCGGGGCGGCGTCACTGCACCCTCCGCCAGGCCCCGCGGTATGCACCGTGGGAGCCGAGGGCGGAGGCGACACTCTCAGGTGAGCTGCGGGAAGACCTGGCGGAGCCTGCGGACGCTTGCTCCGCCTCGGCTGCCTCTGTCCGCGGTCCCGGGTCCCTGAGGTGGCCAGAGAGGCGGGGCGGGGCCCCCTGGCACTGCCTGACGCCCTCCTGGGGAACCTCCCTGGGTTCCGAGACTTTTCTGGGAGGGTCATCCTGAGACCTGGGCTCCTGGACCTGCTGGTGCCCACCGAAGACCAGATTTCTTTGCTTACCTGCCCGTGTCGTCCTCACCAACCTCGCCCCTCCTCTTGTCTGCATAGAGTTAAACTACCCTCTCACCTTTGGTCTCCGAAGTGTCCCTTCTTCGTTTGGAGATGAAGCATATTTTGGGAAATTCCGGGGGACTAGCTTCAGTGTCAGGGATGACCAGTTTCTGTTCCTTTTCCTGGGTGTAATATTCTCCAAGTGGAGTATGGGGAAAACTTTGATCAGCTCCAGTCCAGCAGTTGTTGAATGGATTCTACCGGCTTATTCACAAATGTTTTGGGCGGGGAGGGGGTGACATTTATCAAGCCCTACACGTTGGAGGTTGTCACTGTCGCTCCCCTCCCCCTCTTTAAAAATGCAGGCCAATATGCTAAATCACACTTAACCAATGGCACAGATGCAGGCAGAAATTTGCCTAAATTTTAGTTTTCAAGCTATGAAGTTGCAAATAGATATAAATTTTAATGGGTTTTTGATGTTGTAACAAATGTTTCACTTTGGGGGGGGGGAATAGGTTGTTAGGAATAGTGGTCGGTGTCCATCTGATCTCCAGGCAAGCTTTATTTGTCAGAGCACAAACAAAATATCACGTCTACTTAATTGTTTTGCTGGTGATTCTTGTTTTGAATTTGGAGAAGTCGTTAGTGTTGCCATGCTAACCTAACCCTCTTAGCTTGTATTTTAAGAATTTTAAAGGACAGTCTATCCTAGGCCAATCTATTTACGGCTGAAAATTTTTGAAGAAGCAATGATGAAAATACTGCAAACTGCTCTCCAATTAAAACGTGTCTTAATTTAAAATACTGTTTTTTAAAAAGGCAGTGTGCTGCTAATAACATGGGATTGTGACTTTGGAAGATTGTTAGACTTGTACTAGAAGTTTCCTCAAGCCTATGAAAGTATAAGGTTTTTGGTAAACTGTTTAATGCAATAAATTTGAACTGTCATTGCATTCAACATAGTATGCCTTAATCAGAATATAAATGTCTTTCTAGAATACATTGTATATGTGGATAAATGCACGTGTATCTTGTCTTTTCATAGCAGAACTTGGTGCTAATAGTGATAGTGAGTTATATTTATAAACAATTTTGTACATATGAAAGATATTTTTCTGACTGGTGTATAGTATTATTCAAGGCCATTAATACCTATAGAAACAATCTGTGGTGTTAATATGTTTATGAATTAAAAATTTTTAAATTTTTTCTTATGATTGTCATTTTTTTAAATTTATTTTTAACACTATATCATGGGCACGAGAAAGGAAGTGAAGTCCTTATATAACCACTTTAGTTTGTTAAACTGCTGTAACTTACAGTGAGAGCAAAAGAGAAGTTATCTGAAAATAACTGACCTCTTTGGGGGGAAGGGTATATGCTTCCAAATACATGAATTAGTCTTCATGCAATCTTGTAAGCAAAGTAGACAAATATTCTTATTTTGAAGTTGTAGAAATGGACACTCAAAGCCAGTTATTTATGTGGCTGCTGTTCTGTAAATATTCTAGAATTAGCTATATTTTAAATTAAATATTACCTTAGATACTTTTGCTATTTGTTATTATTTCAAACCTTCATTTTTACAAGACACTTGTTCCTTATGTTGATTCCTAGTTTCTAAGGGCGTTAGTATTTTTATAAAATTTTATTATTAATAATAATGAATTATCATAATGAAGCATTATTCTTTATTTGAACTTTTTATTTGAACAGTTCTTAAGATACTGTAGATAAGATCTGGGGGTGTGGCTCAGTGGTAGAGCATTTGCCTAGCATGCATGAAGCTGAAAGTTCAGTCTCCAATAAGTGTAAGCAACACCAACAGAACAAAACAAAAAATTCACCTGTAGTTATCATTCATTTATTTGAATGTTCAGTTGTGTCGCTTTTGGTTTTCTACTCATTTTATACTCTTGATTATGTAAAACATATTTAAGACACATGATCAGTGGTAGCATAACTATAGGGACAGTTGATTTTAAAGTTAAGTGTGTTGTTATATAGTTGTGATTGATTGTTACTTTTGCTGTGTGGTTAGATTGCAAAATCGTTTCCTTGTTGACCCCCCCGCCATACAATTCTTAGTGTTGCATGTTGGTGAAAGAATGAAAAGATTGCATAGTGTCTTTCTGCATTAATTTTGTTGTTGTTGGTCATTGTTCGTCTCAGTGGAACTTCTCATTTTACCTTTGAGTATTTTTGGGTTATTATTTGTGTTTCTCATCTGGCATGAAAGTTCTGCGATGTCAGAGGTTCTCTGTTCGTTATTGTGCACTTAGTTCCTAGCATATACTAGAGTAACGAATAAATAATAGTTCATCTCAGTCCCAGGATAATAGTTTAAAGTCAAAACAAAACAAAAACCTGGTTCTTAGTTTGTAGGCACATTTTATCTTTTCTTAGGACTATGCTACAACTATCTGTTCAAATTTTCTGGGTCTCAGGGGAATAACAGCCTCTGAGAATAAGCCACAGGTGGGTCCTGAAAACTGACTACTTTAATGATCTGCCTAGGTGCTCTGTAGTTGCTGTAATCTGAAGAAAATAAAAGCTTTAAGACCCTAACTTATGCTAGTACTATAATTATTACTTGGAATAACGTTAGGTCTTTGTTAATCGCAGTAGTAGGTGTCTTGACTACTGGAGGCTAGTTAGTTCAGTACCCTTGTTTTCTGTGTAGGAAAGCTGGCATCATACTGGAAGAAGACTCCCCTAAGCAGCTCTAGGTCTACATTTGTTTTATGTGCCAGATAATTGTCAAATCAGAACATGATTATTATTAACCTAGTGGTGTTTTTTTGTCACTGTTAATTAAAAACTCAAAATGAGTCTTACTTGTCATATTAACTTAAAAATAAATAGCAATTAGACTATAAGTTAAAGTAGAACAACTTTCTGGGAAGAAATGTGGCATTACCTGTCAAAATTTAAAGTCTGTGTAATGTTTGATATAACCATTTAATGTTTGTGAGTTTATGTTACATACATTTTAAGCCCAACAATAACTCTATTAAGAAGTTTATCATGACTACAAATAAAAGTAAACAGAAATATTTAAAAATGTCCAAAATACCTGTTGGTAAGGGAAGAGTTAAAATCAGAGTATATTTATGCTGTAAGATACTTCGCAGTTGTTAGCAGGTTTTAGGGAATCTATATTTACTTCGGGAGAAGCAGCTGAGCGTGTCCTTCAGCACATTGGCAAGGCAGCAGACCTCATAGGCTCACATCCTAACTGCAACATTTATACCAGCTGCGGCCATTAGCGACTTAAAGTCATCTATAAGGTGGGTATAGTGATAGTCCTTACCTCATGGGACTATTGTGAGAACCAAGTGAGTTAGTGTCTGTGTTCTAAGTAAGCACAGGGTGCATTTTGTAACTGCTTCCTATTGCTGTTATGTACTGACATGGAACAATGCTCATGATATAATATTGTTTATGAGAAATAAGTTGTACTACACTGTGTGTTGCAAGGAGAGGTCCAGACTGTGTAATATGAGTTGACTTAATAAATAAATAAGATGGAGCCAATAAGATGACTCTGTGGGTAAAGGCACTTGTTTTACCTACAAGCATGTGTATCCCAAACAACTGTAAAACAATTGCAAGGCTGTGAAGAGTTCATCACGGTATGTTGAACTCAGATTCAGCCGCATTGGTGTGTCCTCATCCATTTGGAGAAAATGGTCTCAGTTTCCTTCTACTGCATCTGCTAGGACAGTTTTCTCTTCACTAATTTGATGGTTTGATTAATATAATGTTCCATTTTATTGTACATATCGGAAAAGTTCTTCAGTTGACTGTATCTGAGGGGTTGTTCAGTGTTGATTCATGTTGAGAGTCGTCAGCTGTGGTGACTGCTGTCGAGGGTCCAGTCGATGGAGGAGATGGGTTTGGTGAGAGAGGGCTGCTGCGGTGGGGAAGTCAGGGCAGAAACCACATAGCAGCAGCTCAGGAGGCAGGCGAAAGGGCCTCTAATGCAGATCTGTTCACCATTTTTGAGAGGGTTGTAAAGGAAAAACAGTAGTGAGGAGGTGCTGGGTGGAGGGACTTTTTTATTTCTTAAGATGTCATTAAGCATAACTTAATGCTTAAGAGGGGAGATTGGGACAAAAGTGCGAGGAAAATGTGGCCAATAGTGAGGTTTTTTGAGAGAACCTGGGTAAATAGATCTAGAAATAATAGGTGAAGTGTTCCTATGGTAACTTTTCTCCCAAAGTTACATCTTTCATCATCATCATCATCATCATCATCATCATCATCATCATCATCATCATCATCATCAGTTTAGGCCATGCATGGTGGGACACACCATTAGTCTCATCATGTAGGAGGCAGAGGCAAACAGATCTCTGTGACTTCTAGGCCAACCTGCTCTATATTTAAGCTACCGGGGGTTATATAGTAAGAAAAAAAATTAAAATTACATTTTATCTGTGTGCATGTGTGTATGCACACACACTATCTAGAGAGGATGTGGAGGCCAGAGACCAGTTTACAGCAGTCAGTCCTCTCTTCTCTGTGATGGACCTGGGAGTCCAGCTTAGGTGGTCAGGGTTGGTGGCAGATGCCTTTACCCACTGAGTCATCCACCTTCTTTGCTTGTTTTTCCATTCTCCCCATACAAACTCTAAATTAAATGGTAACTTCAGATCTTTTTAACTATTGGTTTTGTGTGAGTCTTTGTACTTATTTTGGATAGGGGCACACACTGTACCTAGGCTTTCCTGGAACTCCCTACGCAGCCCAGTTTGACCTCAAATTTG